TTCATTTCCAGAATTCCCTTAGTTTGTGTTTTCATTATTGCTTCTATTTTCATTTTCAGGTCTTAAAACATTTCTTTCACCTGTTTTGTTTGTTTGTTGCTTTCTTGACTTTCTTGGCATTCTTTAAGGGTTTATTGATTTCCTCTGATTTTTTGTTTGTCTTTTCCTCAACTACTTTGAGTTTTTTCATTTCCTCTTTAAGGACCTCTATCATTTTCATAAAGTCATTTTCTTGTGCTTCAGCTGCATTAGAATGTTCAGGTCTTGCTGTCACAGGATAGCTGGGTTGTCGCAATAAGAGCGGCGGGGCTGTGTTCCCGGCACCCGTCTGCCCGCATGGCTAGCTTATGCCCCTAAATAATTACACAGAAACTGTTTTTTAAACACTGCCTGGCCCATTAGTTCCAGCCTCTTATTGGCTAGCTCTTACATATTGATCTAACCCATTTCTAATAATCTGTGTAGCCCACGAGGTGGCTTACCAGGGAAGATCTTAACCTGCGGCTGTGTTGGGTGGGAGAATCATGGCGACTCCTGACTCGGCTTCTTTCTCCCAGCCTTCTGTTCTGTCTACTCCGCCTACCTAATTTTCTGTCCTATTAGGGCCAAGCAGTCTCTTTATTTAACCAATGAAATTAATACAAAACAGAAGACTCTCCCCCATCACTGGGTTCTTGTGGTATTATATTTTCCTTTCTATTATAGATTGTGTTTTTACACTGGTGTTTAGGCATCTAGATTTGGGATGGTTATAGGTCTTGGTGTTGATTCCTGCATTTGTCTTTGTTTGTAGTGGTGAGGCAGGCAGGCCTGCTTTTCGTCCTGTTCCTGCCGCCCAGCTCCCGGCTGCCTGGCTAACTTATGCCCAGAAATAACGACACACAAACTGTATTCATTTAAACACTGCCTGGCCCATTATTTCTAGCCTCTTATTGGCAAACTCTCACATCTTGATTAACCCATTTCTAATAAACTGTGTAGCACCATGAGGTGGTGGCTTACTGGGAAAGATTCAGCATGTCTGACCTGGCGGCTAGCTCCATGGCATCTGACCTCACTTCCCTTCTTCCCAGCATTCTGTTCTGTGTACTCCACCCACTTATGTTCTGACCTATCAGGCCAAGCAGTTTCTTTATTAATTAACCAATGAAAGCAACAGATAGACAGGTGACCCTCCTCCATTATTTGTTGAATGAGTGTTTTGGGTTTTTGATTTCTCTGTTCTTTCTGGTTTTTTAGCCTAATTGACCAAGGGTTCTAGTGACTAGTGAGTCTTCAGATATAGTAGGATGTCTCTGTCAGGGCTTTGGGAACCTTAGCCTAGCATCTAGTAAAGCCAAGTCATCCTTCATAGTTGTAGGCCACAATATGAAGCCCAGAGAGGGAATGCAGTCTGGGGTTGTTGGGAGGGCTTTAAGGAGTGTTAGCAGGAGGTAGGAAGTGTCTTACCAGGGGTCCCTAGGACTAGCCTGGCCTCAGGTAAAGCTTATAGGACTGTGGGCTAGGGTGTGGAGCCCAGTGGGGTGGGGGTACTGTTGGGGATGCTGAATGGACTTAAAGGGAGTGTTAACAGGTGGTGGGTGATATCTTATCTTGGGTATCTACATCCAGCCTGGTCTCCAGTGAAGCCTATGTCTTCTTCCAAAGTTGTAAGCAGGAATATGGAGCCGAAGGAGTTAATACAGCTGAGTTTGTTGGGTGGGCTATAGGGAATGTTAATGGGCAGTGTCTTACCTGGACATCCCTAGGACCAGCCTGGCTTCCTGTAAAGCTATCTAGGCTTTGGGCAAGGAAGAGAGGGTCAGGGGATGTGCCCTGGGGATCAAGCTCTAGGGAGTGGAGCAGCTTGGCTGCCAGGTCACTCACCTGTTCTCTAGACTGGTGTGGACTGTACCTGAGCTCATGGAGTCTATTGGAGTTGTGGGGAAGGGTATTGAGGTGGGAGAGGTTGGGCAGAAGAGTGGATTTGGGGGGAACAGAATCCAGGGGGTGAAGGCATTTCAGCTGGCAGAGGGTCATTCCTGCTCCTAGATGGGTATTTATTAATTTTTAAATTTTGAAATATCATATCGTATAACACAGGCTGACCTCAAACTCTATATTGCCAAGGCTACCCTTGAATTCCTGCTTCTCCTTTCTTTACCTCACTAGTACTAGGATTTACAGTCATCCACCACAACTAGCTTTTATTAATTCCTTTGATTCTCTTCTGTCTACCCCATGACTAATTCTCTGATGAATATAATAGTTTATAATATAATAGTTTTCAAGTGTTCTGATTTTCCCATTGTGGATGGGAGCAATAATTTCCAAGTGCTTTGCTTATCAGACTGGAAACCAGAAATCTCTGTCTCACACAATCTTTCCTAGTTGGATTTGAGGACAGAGCATGGGTGTCATTTATACATAACTATAAGAGAACAGTTTTTCTCTTGTAGAGAGAATATCGACCATATGATAGATACAAAAAACATATGGGTATTGATCATGCCATTGTTTCCTTTGCCAAAGAAGTTATATGGACACTATCAACATTGTTTTTATTTCTCAGTTGTTCACTCAGTTGACCTTGTGATCGAGAACTCTGCAGATGGAAGCTGCTCATTGGTTCCCAGCCTCCTAGACCCAAAATAATCACACAGAAACTATATTAATTATAATACTGCTTGGTCAATAGCTTAAGCATATTTCTAGCTAGCTCTTATATCTTAAATTAAACCATTTTTATTATTTTGTATTTTACCATGAGGCTCTTGGTTTACCAGCAAAGTTCTAGCACATCTGTCTCTTTTAATGGAATGGCTATATGGCTTCTCACTGACTCACCCTCTTTTCTCCTCTATCTCTGCTCGGAATTCTTGCTTTGCCCTCTTCTATACTACTGTAGGCCCAAAGCAGCCTCTTTATTAACCATTGGCAATAAAACACATTCACAGCATACAGAGGGCAATCCCACATCAGGACTCTTTCAGAAGGTGACTGCCACACTTAATTTTATGTTGTATTAGAGCCTTCAGTTGTTTAATTTTTTATTTAAATTTCTCAATTCCTATTTGGATAGCTTTTTTTCTTGTCTGTTAAACGTATTTGAGTCTTTTCTTTTTAATAAATTTGCAGGTTCTTTATTAAAGTATTCCATTAAGGAAAAAAGTAAATGCCTGTCAGAAGTATATTCTCACAAATATTACATAGTGTGAATTACTGTAACAGGCTTTGCTTTTTCTATAAATTATGCTGTTGTGAAGGTACAAAGTAGAAGACACAGTCTTATGGTAGCATACAAACCTGGAGTGATTTTGGCTGTGGTCAGTGCCAGTTTCTCTGGTATTCAGTCATCTGTAAGATAGTTTTCATCTCATTTGTCTTCAGGCCATGTTGATTTCTTCTTTTTAACACCAGAATTTTCTAATATGAATTTTATTTTTTTATTTGTAGTAAAATATACATAATGGTAAATGTATCATCTTAAGATTTTTAAGGCTTATTACTTTTAATTACAGGTATTTCTAGGATAAGGTTATATACATGTAAGGTACTTAAAGTGTCGGGTCCCCAGTTGGAGTTACAAGGAGCTGTGAGCCACCCATTGCAGTTCTGTGAACCAAACTCTGATCCTTTGCAAGAACAGAATAAGTTCTTAACCACTAAACCATCTCTTCAGTGCATCTTAATCATTGTACAGTTTACTAGCAGTAAACATATTTTTATATCATTGCCACAGTCCACCCATATCTTTTGAAACAAATTCTGGACCCATAAAAACATTCTTTCTCCTTTCTCTTCCATGCTTGGTAGCTGTCCCTTTTGCTGCCTGTCTCTGAGTTTGACATTTCTAGGCACCTCAAATCAGTAAAATCATACAGTACTTGTTTCATTTTATTTAAGATTTATTTATTTTATATGAGTGTTTATCTGCATGTATACATGTGTGCCACAAGTGTACCTAGTACTGTAGATGTCAGAAGGGGCATTGAATCCCTTAGAACTTGAGTTACAGATCGTTAATAAGCTACCATGTGGATGCTGGGAGCTAAATCCATCTCTCTAGCCCCAGGACTTGTCTTATCATATCTAAATTATTCCATGTAGCATAGTATTCTTTTTTGTTTTGTTTTGTTTTTTCAAGACAGGGTTTTGTTGTAGCTACGGAACAAGCCTGTCCTGGAACTTGATCTTATAGATCAGGCCAGCCTCAAACTCACAAAGATCTGCCTGCCTTTGCCTTCAGAGTGCTGGGATTAAAGGCATGTGCCACCACTGCCCAGCTTAGTGTTGTATTCTTAAGGTTTATGTTGCCAGAATTTCCATTTTAATGATAAATAACATTACCCATATACTATATGCTGAAAATTCATTCATTCATTGGTGGATACCTTGCATGCTTCCTCATTTCAGTGTTGTGGATAATACAGCTGTGAGCATTAGTGTACAAGTAGTACAAACCCCCTTTTATCATGCCTAAAGAAGGAATAATTAGTTGGTCACCTATGCCAAATACAAAATGTTAGTACTTTGTCTATGCAAAGTATTAGATTTTATTTAAATTTTTTTAGCATTTTCTCCCAGCTTAAATTGTGTTTTTGAAAGTCTGTCTTACGGAAGACTTGTGTGTTATGTATGTATGTGTGTGTATGTGTGTGTGTTTTCCTCCCCCAGCACAGGTAGAGCATTTTTGCTGGTTCATTAGTGAAGTACTAAACAGTCATGAGTTCTGTTTAAAAATGTGGAGTGATCTATTAAGGATTAGATAAAAACTGCTTAAGACATCTCAATGAGTCTGAAGTGAGACAGACTGCCCCATCTTGGATGTAACCCTACCCTGAAATGTTACGTGATAATGGTAAGATCTTATAAAACCATATACGCATGTGTGTTCATATATACAAAAGTATATAGGAAAATTGTTTTCATTTTTAAGAAGCAAAGCATCACTTGATTTTTAAAAGATGTGTCCTCTTTAAAGAATGTTTCTTTGAGTAACTTTTATTTTTCTTCAACAGCCATGGATTTGGGAAGAGGATAGGTTTTTGAAGTGTGGTGTAAGGAAATATGGAGAGGGAAACTGGACGAAAATACTATCACATTATAAGTTCAACAACCGAACAAGTGTCATGTTAAAAGACAGGTGGAGAACAATGAAGAAACTGAGGCTGGTTAACTGAGGCCCTGAAGGCTGTGTGGGTTTGTTTTGGCTTAATTCAAGGACAATTAAATACTTGGATCACTACATTTTGTTTAAAACTGTCTGGTCAGTGATGGATGTATCTTAAGGGGTTTTTTCGTTGTTGAAAGCATTATTTTTTGTGATAGTTTTGTACAGATTTGTACTGTAAAAGTAAATTATATGCCATAATTGTTTTTATAAGTCTTTTTATTTTTGTAAAATATAGGTTTGTTGAACCCTACCAAATTCAATTCCCCATCCCACATCCTGTTGTAATACAGAAATAAAGCCTGATAAGATAAAAAGTATTTATTTGTGGCTGTTTCTGTTTGTTCTACTAACCTTACAAAATGCCACACGGAAATGGATTTCTAAAGAATGGAACTGGAATACTCCTTTGTGATTTTTTTTTGTTGTCGTTGTTGCTTGATTTATGGCTAATATGCTACTTGCTGATAATGTTATTGGGGTGATAATGTGCAGAACAATCCATAAGTTCTGACAAACTTGACTTCTCTCAATAGTTCCATCTAAAGGAAGTTTTCACCAGCAATTTGTTCTTTAGAATATTTAATCAAAGACTAATAATTAGCACATTGAGTTTTATGTGCAGTATTTAAGTGGATAAAAATTCAACCTATTGAAATATTTATGTTAAAAATGGGGTATTGTGTAATGTCTCTAACTTTCTATCAAAGTGTCATGCATTTTTTCCTATTTTTCTTGAATTTATGTTATCCTATTTGCGCAATAAACAGAAACATTAGTAATTGCCATATGCTTCCTGACCCAGTATGCTGCCAGTTAGTTCCAAAGCTGGCATCTTGGGACACAATAAACATATAAGTCAACGTCACTTTAAACATACTTAATAAATCATCAACTCTAAATTGCTATTATAAAATATCTACTATTTTACCCATTGCTTTAAAAAGTCACAATGTGATACATTATTAAAACTTACTTATCAAAGGCTATTTTATTTTTTAATTTTTAACATTTATTTAGTGAGTACATAAGTCTGCATGCCATGGCATGCATGAGGAAGTCTGATAAGAACTCAGGAGTGTGCTAGTTAGTGTCCTGTCACCTTGACAGAAGCTGTCACCTTGACTTGGGGAGAGGAACCTCGATGAGAAAACACCTTCACTAGAATGCCTGTAAGGCGTTTTCTTCACTAATAATTGGTATAGGAAGGTACAGCTCACAGGTGGCAGCTCCTCTCCGGGGCAAGTGGTCCTGTGTTGTAGGAGAAAAAGCAATACTGAGCAAACCATGCCAAGCAAGCCACTGAGCATCTCTCCTCCATGGCTTCATGAGCTCCTTCGTCCTTATTCTGCCTTGTGTTCCTGCCCTGGCTTTCCGTCAGTGGTAGACTGAACCTCAACGTGTGAGATGAAATAAGTTCTTTGCTCTCCAAGTTGCCTTTGATCATGGTGTTTCTCACAGCAATGGAGCCTAAACACAACAGGGAGCGCATTCTCCCCTACCATGTGAGCTCCAGGGTGTGAGGCTTTGGCAAGTTCTTCCACCTGCTTAGCCATCTCATCAGCTCCAAAAGCCATCTTAAATTTATTTAAGCAGCTTTTTCTTTCATATGACTTGTAGCTCTGAACAGAGTTCTACACAGGCTGGAGAGATGGCTCCATGAGTAAGAGCACTGGCTGTTCTTCCAGAGGACGTGGCTTTGATGGCAGCTCATAGCTGTCTGTAACTCCAGTTCCAGGGGGTCCAGTGCCCACTTCTGGGCCCCATGGATACTGCATGCATGTTGAGCAATACATATATATAGGCAAAACATCCATATACATGAAATAGCTTTTTAAAGAATAATGGAGAAAATAAATTGATCAGTATATCCCTAAAACATTGTCTCCTAGTCTGAATTTTTTGAGTATCTTTTTAAAAAAACTTTTTATTATTGAGGTATAGATTCATATGCAATTATAAGAATCATAGAAAGCATTTGCCCAGTTTCCCCCACACTTATACCCATCTATACCCCAACCCCTCCTCCAGCCCCCACACTTAGACCATCTATACCCCAGCTCCTACCCCAGCCCCACACTTAGACCATCTGTACCCCAGCCCCTCCTCCAGCCCCCACACTTAAACCATCTATACCCCAGCCCCTACCCCAGCCCCACACTTAGACCATCTGTACCCACTCCTACCCCAGCCCCCATACTTACACCATCTGTACCTCATTCCCTACCCCCAGCTCTTACACTTAGCTTTCTCCACTCCTCACCTACCTGTGTGTCTCCACTGTACATAATTTGTCATCTTTTTTCATTGTTTTGTATAATTACATAATATTTGTCATTTTAGTTCTGTGGCTGTTTACACATGAGCTTTATAGTTTCTACATGTCTATAATTTCCACATTTCCGATTCCTCTAACCAAACTGAAGACTCCAATCCTGTCACCATGTAATGGGCATTCTGTCACTGTCTTCTTGTCCTGCGTCCGGGTAGTCTGGCTCTACTGGCTGTGGCCCACCTGGTCTAGGCTGGCCCTGTGCCCACAGATCTCCTTTGTCTTTCCTGAACATGTTCCCTGTTCAGGTAGTCTTGCCTGGCTTACACTCCACTCCCTGTTAGATTGAGCACCCCTCTGATGCCCTCCCAGAAAGGGGAATAGAGCAGGAACTTCCGTGCTTTGCCTGTCTAAAAAACACCGTTGCTTTATCCTTGTGTGTAGTGAATAATTTTATTGGATATGGAATTGTTCCCAGTAATTTACTTTTGGTTGTAAGCTTAGCCTTTAGCGGCTCTTTCCATATATTCATTTCCATTTCCTTTTCGAATTTCAAAGGTGTCGCTGCTGTCTTGTAGCTTCAAATGTTGTATTATAAATTGCCATACACTTTAATTACTGGTCCTGTACATATGAACCACATATTTCCATCAAGAACATTTTGGATTCTTTAGTGTTTTGATATCCTAGACGTTTGTTCTGTGTCTGGTGTGATGCTCCTTAGAGAAATCCAATGAGCCAGCCCTTGGTGGACCTTAAAGAATTCTCAGTCTCTGATGATGGATTTCTCTGATCCTGTGACTGCCTTATGCTTGTATCTTCTCATTTCTGTCTCTTCAGAACCTGACTCGGTAGAAGTGGGGCCATCTAATAGGGAAGTGCTCCCGAAGTCCGGCCCAAGGCTGAGTCTTGCTGTCATGCTTACTCAGTGACATTGGTCTGGCTTCAAATGTATTTTCTCCCAGAGCTTAGAGGTTTTGTTCTGTCAGATTTACAACACCCACTGATGCTGAAGAGAGTCTGCCTCCTCAAGGATCTTTGTTCCTCTCTAGACGACCTAATTTTCTCTCAGCAAACAGGACCCTCAAGAAGTCACCCTGAACTGAGAGAGATCTGCCTTTCAGAAGAAAGGTTCCCGCCACTGATTCCATGTTCTCTAAATGATATAAAAATAAGTTCCCGCCACTTCATCCAACTCTTGTTTTCTGGTCTGTAAAATGTTCTTGCAGTCTTCAAAGCGTGTCCCAGTTCGCTGGGGCTCTTAGCGTGCACAATATCCTAGGTTCAGTCCTCAGCACCAAAACCTAGAGTGAGGATGCACACCTATAATGCTAGCACCTGAGAGCTGGAGGGCAGAGAATCAGAAGTTCAAGGCCGTCCTCAACTAAATAGTGGGTTCCAGGCCAATTTGAGTTACATGAGACCTTGTGCGGGGATGACGGGGTGGGGATGCATTCAGAGGTTCTGAGTTGAAACTGCCTCCTCTCTGTTCACCTATGTTATCTGCATAATTTATTGGGAAGGAAGAGAGGTGAGCTGTATTTCTCATCCAGAACTAAAAATTGTGTGTCTCTGTTGCTACATTTAACTGATTGCTTATGCTCTGAGCGCCCAACCAAACATCCTGGAGCTACAAGCCGTTATGAGCCATCCTCCAGGGGTGCTGGGAACAAACTCCAGTTCTCTACAGGAGTAATGAGTACCCTCTCACCTGAGCCATCTCTCCAGCCCCAAAATTCAAGTTGTTTTATTTTATTGTTTTGTTTTCCATGAAAACAGCCTTGGCAGTTAAATGAAAATACAGTTGCAAATCCTACTGGAGATGTTTGCCACCCCTTTAAGCTTGCTGCTGGCCTTCACATGATCAGTGCCAAAAATACACATTCCAGTTGACCATGTTAGTGAATGCAATTTAGTTCAGACCAAAGTAATTAAACCTTTTAAATACTGCTTCAATTCTTAAAAGAAAATATCCTCAATTTAAAACTTTCAAAACAAAACCCGACTGAGGTCCTAGGCTGGAGTCTGGAGCATGCTCAGGATCTCTTCTGAAGCAGAGCCTGGGATGAGAACCTGGACCAGCCTCCACAGATGACCGCAGAATAGCTTGCTATCCTAGATCTGAAAGCACATCGTGCCATTTGGCTACAACCGTAAGGTAAAGCTAGTAATGTTTTATTGCCTGTGTATGAGATCATAACACTTAGAGGAAGATCCATGCCTCCTACCATATGTACCTCTGCATCTCACCCCAAACATGTGCTGTACAAAGAAAATTAGTAAGTACATCTCAACTAAACGTGAAGTTGGACATTAAAAGATTGTCTTATTCTGCTTTGGGAACTAAATTTTGGAAACAATCTTAGATATGCATGATGAAAGAGTACTTAGAAATAAAGTATCTGACTCCTTCATTGGTGCCAAAATTTCAGGGAAATTGTAAAATTTTAAGCAATTCCTATCGATCTACCATGGCTGTTTGCTCTTTTCAACTAACCAAGGAAAATTTCTTCTTGAAAAATGTCTTTATCATGGGCACTAGCTTTTCACTACCAAACACCAATTGAAATTTTAACACCTTTCTCTGTGGAAGATTATTTGTGACAGTTGACTTGAAATTAGTTGACAACTTGTAAGGTAATACACGGGAACACTATGTGTAAGAGTCACGTGTAGATTTTGTTTTTAAGCGAGAACCTTTTAAGAATAGATGGCGCATGTCTTCTACCCCAGTGCCCAGGAGGCAGAGGCAGGTGGATCACTGAGTTTGATGCCACACTGCTCTACAGAATGCATTCAAGGACAGCTGGGGCTGCACAGAAACACTGCCCCCCCACTGCAAAAAAAGACTGAAGGCAAAGAATAGCTGGGCGGGCTGGCACACACCTTTAGTGCCTGCACTTACGAGGGAGGCAGAGGCAGTTGAATATCTAGGAATTAGCGGCCAGCCTGATCTACAGCGTGAGTTCCAGGCTACATAGTGAGATTCAGTCTTTAATTTAAAAAATAAAAAATAAAACAAAAAACCAATAATGGCAAAATACATAGATACCCTTAAACAGCAACTTTACCCAAACTAGAGCCCATAGTAGTGATTCTAGTACAAACAGACGTGCGTTCTGTGGCCAAACGTTTAAGGTCAAGGCCATAGGAGCTTTTAGTATGGTTCTTTAACTCAGTAAAAATAAAAACAAAGAGGCTGTGATCCTTGAGAACTACCCCTAAGTTTTCTTTCTCAGAAGCGAAGTGTGGCAATGGAGCGTGTCCGGGGACTTGGCACAGTTTCTGAGGGCTTCTGAGGGCTGAGCTCAGGTTGGCAGTACTCAGCCCACCGTAAGCGCACTGTGCGGTGCCTCCGAGGCGCTCTATATGAAAATGAAGCGGTGCACTTCTGGACAGGAGCACTGGTTCACCCGCCGCACTTTCTTCCAGGTCCCTTGGCATCGAGGATTGCCAATGGCTTGCCAGCGAAGAGTCTGGTTTCTAAAACGATATTGTAGAAGTGTAGGTTATACTAAAAGCAAACCACAGCAAATTCTAATCTACACAGCTGTAATTTTTTTAAAAAGATCTATGTAGTTTTAATTTGTGTGCACGATTGTTTTGTCTACACATACGTGAGTGTGTTGTATGCCTGCCTAGTGACCACAGGGGCCAGAAGAGAGTACTTGTTCCCCTGGAGCTAGGTTGTTAGCCTCTATGTGGGTGTTGGGAACTGAACCCAGGTCCTCTACAAGAGCAACAAGTACTCTTAACAGCTGAGCCATCTCTCTAGCCGTAATGTGTTTTGGTTTGTTGTTGATCTTAAAGACAATGTGCTGGCCAGTGTATGTCAATCTGATACAGCTAGAGCCATTCAGGACGAGAGAACCTCAATTAAGAAAATGATTCTAGGGCTGGAGAGATGGCTCAGTGGTTAAGAGCATTGCCTGCTCTTCCAAAGGTCCTGAGTTCAATTCCCAGCAATCACATGATGGCTCACAACCATCTGTAATGAGGTCTGGTGCCCTCTTCTGGCTAGCTGTATACATAATAAATAAATATTTTTTTTAAAAAAAAAGAAAAAGTTATAGGCTCAATGTCCTTTATTTATGGCTAGAAACCAATTATGAGTGAGTACATCCCATATTCATCTTTTTGGGTCTGGGATAACTCACTCAGGATAGTGTTTTCTATTTCCATCCACTTGCATGCAAAATTCAAGAAGTCCTTGTTTTTTACCGCTGAGTAGTACTCTAATATGTATATATTCCACACTTTCTTCATCCATTCTTCCATTGAAGGGCATCTAGGTTGTTTCTAGGTTCTGGCTATTACAAATGATGCTGCTATGAAAAAAAAGAGGGGGAAGTGGTGCGGAATAATTGTCTGTATTCTGTCAATCATGTTTTAAATAAATGCTGATTGGCCAGGCAGGAAATATAGGTAGATCAACCAGACAGGAAGTAGAGGTGGGGCGATGAGAACAGGAGAATTCTAGGAAGGAGGAAGCCCATTCCTCCCGAGTCCTGCCCAAACCACTGAAGAAGCAAGATATGACCTGCCCTACTGAAAAAGGAACCAAGCCGTGTGGCTAATATAGATAAGGACAATGGGTTAATATAAGCTACAAGAGCTATTAAGAAGCCTGAGATAATGGGCCAGTTTATAACTAAAAAAGAAAAAGGAAAAGAAAAAAGAAAATTATTCCACCAGATTGGCCCCTGGGCAAGCCTGTGGTACATTTTTTAAGTTGATGATGGTGTGAGAGGGACCAGCTCACTGTGGGCAGTGCCAGCCCTGGGCTGGTGGTCCAGGAATCTCTAAGAAAGGTTAGGAAACCCATGGGGAGCCAACAAGGAAGCGGCACTTCTCCCTGGCCTCTGCTGCAGTTCCTGCCTCCAGTTCCCGCCCTGACATCCCGCAGTGATGGACTTAGATGTAAGGTTAAGTAAACCCTTTACTTCCCAAATGGTTTTTGTTAACAATATTTTATCAAAGCAATAGAAGCCATTTCTAAGATATATAGTAATCATACAGTTTCAAGTATATTACAAATCAGATTTTTAAATTATTTGTTCATTTTTATTTTATTTTATTTGTATGAGTGTTTTGCCCAAATGTACGGCTGTGGGAGCCAGAAGAGGGCATTGGATCTCCCTGGAACTGGGTTTATAGATGGATGGGAGCTGTCATGTGTGCTAGGAATCAAACCTGGGTCCTCTGGGAGAGCGTACAGAGCCATCTCTAGACGCCACCCCCTTCTACAGTCACCAAAATCTCTTTCTGGGATTCTGTCCATGTGAGTCACCAGTTAGTCCCTACTCAAGGACACTGTGTCAGAGAGTTGTTCGGGGTGTCCTCGTCCATCTCTTCAGGTACTCTTTAGGGTACTGCACACAGGACAACGGTGTGCTGTGTATGTTTAAGTTAGGAGGGTCTCACCAAATGACTACTTTCATTCTATTCCAGTTCTTTGATTCCATAATAAAAAGTGGAAGAAGTACAGAAAGCAAAGCCAGAGAATTAAAAATATTCTTCATTAAGTTACTTGTATAGTAACCAGGGTTTACGTACTTTCTTTATTGGGTACAAATTGAATTATAAATTCATTTAAAGTCAAAATAGAGATGAGGTATTCAGAAAAACATGAAATCCAAATATTAGGTTTCATTTGCTATGAATTCCTCACCCCCTTTATTGCTCATATGGTGAACTCAGTCAAGACCGCCAGGCACAGGCGACTATTAAACATGAGCCAAATTATTAAATATTAAAACACGATGGGAATATGATTAACTGGAAAGGTCAGTATTTTACTTTTAATCTATTTTTACCAGCTACACCTGACATGCTGAAAACCATTACATGTGTGAATAGATTGGTTCTTGTCCATAGCGGCCCCAGCGTTTCCTTCTTCTAGCCTTAAATGGCATTTAGTGGATCTCACTGAACGTGGTTGCAGTCCTGGGAAAGGCTTGTGGGGAGATGCAATGTCTGCAGTCACTGCTCTCAGAACCCTACCTCAGGCACAGCAGATCTGAACCGTTACTAGGGTCTGAGTCACCTGGGCAGGGCCAGCGTGGTATTGATCCCTTTGTTTGCCTGCCCCCTCTGTTTCAATGGGACTTGTGAATTAAGGATGAATATTAATTTTTTAGGATTTTGTTTTTAATTCTGTGCGTATGTGCGTGGGTCTTGCAGGAAGTAACCAGCAGTAGTGAGCCACCCAGTCTGGGTGCAGAGAACTGAACTTGGGTCCTCTGCAAACGCAGCACCGACTCTTAACTGCTGAGCCGTCTCCCCAGCCACAGCGCTAATGCTTCTAGGAGTTAAGAGAAGCTGGGGATGGCGGTCTATGCTTGTAATCCCAATGTTTTGGAGCCTGATTCCAGGGGATCGCCACAAGTACCTGGCCACCCTGAACTATGTTGTGAGTTCCAGGCTATCCTAGGCTAGAGTGTGACCCTATTTCAAACAGCAACAAAGAGTGGAGGAAAAATCAGAAGACTAATATTTCATGATGCATGAAAATCATACAAAACTTAAATTTTGGTGTTCACAAAAAAAAAATTGTTAGAACCAAGCCAAGGTTTAAAACTCGCATCAGCGGCTGCCTTCCTGGCCAGTGTCAGCAAAGAGGAGTTATTCCGAAAGATGTGTTGGCTGAAAAGCCAGGAATAACTGCTTTCTGACATTTTATTTAAAAAGTTTTAGGTCCAGACCTAAGAGATTACTAAACTCTGGTTTACTTGGTCCTAAGAGGAGGGGCCAAGAATGTGCGTATTCAGTCTCCAAGCCAAGAGATTCAGATTCAAGTAGTCTCTAGTACCTTTGGAGCGGTCAGGTTTTTGGTCGTTTGGAGGCAGCTTCATTTGAAATGAGGCCCTCAAACTAAAGGAGCCTATGTCTCTCTGGTCTAGAGAGCGTCTGAGTACCATAGTAAGAACCAGAGCCCTGGACGGGGGTTGCTGGACAGCCCCTCGCTGCCACATCCTGCTATGTGCCGCACACCGCTTCGCGCCTTAGGACCCAGAGGACAGAGCCTCAGGGCTAGCAGCAGTAAGCCTGCCAGTCATCATCCTTCCTTACCCGTCGGAATCCTGGCCATCTCCGGAACAACGCAGGCTCACAGAATTCATAGCTGGAGGCTGACAGTCCACACACACCGTGTATCCCTCTCGGAGATACTGCATCCATCGAGTCAGCGGACGGTTGTCCAGGGCACAGTGCGGAGTCAGGGACTCTGTCTTGAACTCCATACAGTATCTGGAAAGAAAGAAGTTAAGAGGTCACTTAGCATAGTTAGAAGTGACCGATACTGTAGGAGGTCTTCAGGGGCCGTGTCAGTTACACATGGCAAAGATTGTTCATTCTTTGCTTTTGAGGCAAGGTTTCACTGACCTAGGAGCAATCGTCTTGCCTCAGTCTCTGAAGTGACGGCATTATAACTGTGCCACCGTGCCCAGCATACGTACATGCTTGCTTACATACACACAGACATGAGATTGAGATAAGGGCTCACACACCTCATACTGTCCTCGAACTCGGCAGCGTAGCTGAGGCTGGCCTTGCACTCCTCAACCTCTGAACCCAACCCCACCCCAAATGTGCGGGCTGCAAGTGGGCACCACCGAGCTCAACCAAGTATTGGTTTTTTTTTTAATTTTTTTAAATTTATTTATTTATTAAGGATTTCTGCCTCCTCCCCGCAACCGCTTCCCATTTCCCTCCCCCTCCCCCGATCAAGTCCCCCTCCCTCATCTGCTCGAAGAGCAATCAGGGTTCCCTGACCTAACAACTACTAAGAGTTTTATTTTCAAAACGTATGCATCACTAAACACACAGAGAAGCAATCGATTACAAGTCAGTGTGGCTGTCTCTCTGACTGCACTTCAGTAAGAGAGGAAAAGGAGAGCTGGACTCACGGGAAGCAGTGGCACTGAATTTTCTGTATACGTGTAAGAGGAAAAATAGTAAAGCTTTTAGAAAGCAATGTGGGATAATAAATGTTATGAATTGAAATTATGAAAATCTTCTAAAATAAGATTATAAAAACACTAGCTAGAAAAATGGTTTATAATTAAACTACATTAAATTTAGAAATTTATGTTTATCAAAAGCTATTACTGAGAGAATTAAAGAAAAACCAGAAAGATATTTGCAGCAAGCATTGCTAAAATAGCTCATGTTTGCAATTAGAGTCTCGGCCCTTCTAATCATCTCCAGCACTTGGAATCATTTGTTCAACATTTTTCAAACACTGCAGTGAGGTAAAACACTAACTCCCTATGGCTTTGGATTGTATTTTCCTGACTGTTAGCAAGATCAGTTCCCCCTTTTTTCACCCATTTTATATCCTCTACATTTTCTTTTGAATTTGTGAATGTGTGTGTTTTTAAGATCTATTCTAAATAGGAGCATGCCTTCAGCTCAGCTTTATCTTAGCATTTCCTCGGTCAGATGTCCTACCAAGTATGTCATGGTGACAAGCCAACCACCACCAACTCCCCCAACTGCTCAGCTATTCACCTCTTGGTGCTTCCATGAGAATCTTAGACTTTTCTAGTTTTGTGAAGAGTGTCACTGAAGTGTTGGTGGTAATTATTGTACTGGGTCATATATCACCTTTGGTAACATGGCATTTTTACAGTATGACTTTTGCTGTCCCAAGTTCTGCTCAGCTGAATCTTTTAAGAATAAAAATTCAAGTTTCAATAACTCATCGCTAGTAAACAGCCTGGAGACCTGAGGATGTGGCTGCTGGGTCTCCTAACAGCTCTCTCTGTTAGAAGAAGAATGGATGCAGGTGAGCATGGAGGTGCCTTCCAGCCTGTGCGTGACGTGTCCGTGAGATGCCCTCCAAATGAAAATGTGTCAATTCTCAGATTCACAAACCAGCTCATGGAAACTTCAGAAGCTGCTGGGCATGGTAGTGTGCTCCTTTAATCCCAGATAGGTGGATCTCTGTGAGTTCTAGGCTGGCCTGGTCTGCAGAGTGAGTTCCAGAACAGCCAGGGCTACACAGAGAAACCCTGTCTCGAAAGGGAGGGAGGGAGGGAGGGAGGGAGGGAAGGAAGGAAAACCTGGCAGTAATTTTCAAGTAAATTACCCAGCATCCTCAGTTTGTGTAGACCACTGTGGAGAAGCGGCTTGTATTGTTCTCTTCTTGTTGAATGCAGAGCTGGTTATAAAGGCAGGAACTAGAAAAGGAAGAATTACACTGTATTCGCGCAAAGTACTCAGTAAAGTTTCCCAAACTAGATTCTATGCTTATCTGAGATCTCTATTTCCAAGTCCAAAGATCTTAGTGGCACAGTATCAACAGAGATTGCTGTAGCATCTTCGGAAGCAAACTGAATCAGTATTTATATGCATCTGATAACCACAGAGGGAACCAGAGACCTCTGCTGGGCATAGTGTCCTCCAGGCGTGAGAGAAAGGCAGTGAAAAGGTAGTTGGAGACGAGACGAGAGAAGGATCAAAGAAAGCAGAGGGGAAGGAGAGAAAACCAGAAGTGAAAACGAGAAAGAATAAAAGAAGAAGCGTGGGTGCCCCAAGCCTCTTGGGAACCGCAGCGTGGCAGCTTTGCCTCCACAAATCCCTACGGCTGAAGGCAGAGCTTGTGAAAATTGAGCAGGAGTGAAATATGTCCAGACGCGCATTGGAAAGCAGCTCAAAGTCCACTGCACCGAGGATGCGAGCTGTTTCTGAACATGCGCGCCCACATTGCACCGCACGGCTCTACCACAGCCTTGATTCTGAGTGGACTTTGCACTGTGTGTGCCTTCACACCAGGAAATGCTGGCAGACACACTGGCTCAGCTTCGAGGCCATTGCATGTTCAGGTTTGCGGTGTTTTTAACATGGATGCAAAGTCTTCTTGTTGAAGTATAATGGGTCAGTTACAGTAAACAAGGCCTTGATGTTTTCATAGAAGCCTTAACACACAAAAAAGAAACCCTGATTTAGAGACCAATACCAAGGGAAAGAGGTTGGGGTGGGGGAGATGGCTCAGACGGCAATGTGCTCGTTGCTGCACAAGCTTGAGGACTCCCTGCTTAGCAATCACATTAAAAAAGAAAATCCAGACATGGCAGCAACTCGTATAGAATCCTAATACTGGGGAGAAAAAAGACAGGAGATCCTTGTGTTCGCTGGCCAGCCAGCCAATCCAGCTAAATCGGTGAGCTCCAAGATCAATGAGAGATCCTGTCTCAAAAAGTAACATGGAAAGAGGCTGAGGGAGACACCCAACATCAACCTCTGGTCTCTCTGCACGCGCACAGGCACACACACACACACACACCACACATACATACACAGACACACACAGACCCACACACACATACATACACACACAAAACACACATACACACAAAACACATACTTACACAGACACACACAGACCCACATACACATACATACACACACAACACACATACACACACAACACATACTTACACAGACACACACATACATACACACACAACACACATACACCCGACACACACACACAGACACACATACATACACACACACAACACAACACAGTCAACTGTATATGTTCAGTACAGATAATTTTCCCCTAAATATGTCCAGTCCTGCTCGGGTGAATCTACAGATGAACAGAGCCTGAGAGGACTCAACAGCCCCTCCTGCCTTTTGCTCCAGAAACTGAACAATCCAGGTAAGGGCAGATACAAGCTGGCGTTGGGTTCTGAGATGCTAAAGTCATTGGCGTGAGCAAACTGGTATGAGGGCACTGGTTCAAAGAGGAAAAGCAGCTTCATAGTACGTGTGCACCTTCCTGGCTCCTGCCTGCCACAAGATGGCAGGCCTTAATTCCTTTTCAGATTTTCTTTTTTTCTTTCTTTTTCCCCTTTTCTCTATTTTTCTCTCCCTCTCTCTCTCTTTTCATTTTAAGAGAAGTAACCCTTTCTTGACATGTTCCTTATATAAACCCAATGGAGTTGGTTGTTTTTGGAAGCATTAGTCAGAAACCAAATCCCACATCTTTACCTGACTTCTCAGATCCGTCCTTGGCTTCTTGTGTTGCAGCAGCAGCAGCAGCAGCAACAGAAGTGGCAGCAATTGGCAGCAGCCACAAATGCAGAAGCACCAGCCCAGAACACCTCGACCTTCCTAAGTTGTCATAGGTGAAGCCAGGACCAGCGTGTACATGCGTGTGCTCATGCAGGAGGAGGGGAGGGGACAACCTCAGAGGTCAGTCTTGTCTACATTGTTTTAGGAGACTGCACAGCCTCTCTGCTGAGGCTGGCTCGTCACAGTGGCCACTGATCTTTAGAGATCATGTGTCCCTTAATACAGGTATTATAAGCACATGTCTACCATGCCTGGATTTCACCTTCTGATCTTTACGGCTTCCTGTCCAGGGGCTGCCAATGTAGCTCAGTTATTAGAGCATTCTCTTAACATGAGGGAGGCCCCGAGTTCTATCCCTTGTGCTGAAAACAAACAAACAAATGTGTGGTTTGTCTATATAATCCTATCACTCAGGAGATAGGGGAATGAGAATCAGAAGTTCAAAATCAGCCAAGACTGTAGGAAACCCTATATTCATGTTTACTTTCTATGTTGATAGTCTATGTTTTTGTTTGTTTGGGGACAGAGTCTTGCCATGTAGCCCAGGCTGATCTTGAACTCCCAATCCACTTGCCTGAGCCTCAACAGCCCTGTCTTACGGCACATCTTAAAAGCAAAGCAGTCCCTCGGGATCCCATTTTCCCCCCGCCCCAGCGGCTGCAAGGTTTGCATCCAGGTTATTCTTCCCCCACGCATGAGTTCTGCACACCGTCCAGGAGCCAGATGGCCCGCGGCGCTTTGAACCAAAGCCACTCTTTAATAATAACCCACAAGTTTAATTTTCATATCTTGAGGGTTGTAAATAATTTAAAAGTTATTTTTGCCTTCAGCCCCAACCCTGCTTCTGTGTGGAAGCACGTAGCTTGTGCCTCAGGACACGGTCTCTCAGTAAGTGACGGCCCCCTTCCTTTTCCCTTGCTGGCAGCAATACTCAGGTGTAATATGGTCTTTGTTCAGAGGTCATTCTCCACCTCTTTGGCAACCTATGGACCCACCATTGCTCCCTTTTACAGCAAGTTTCACTTTTAAGAAACATGGCCCTGCAAATATTTCCTTTGAACATGAAAGGAAATGAAATTTGCTTTGAGAGTTTCATAAGCCCTCTGACACAAGGGCATGCCACAAAAAAGGAAAAAAGAGCAGGTCGCTCTGTACATACCGAAGAGAATAAAAGGGAAATTTGGCAAACAACCCCTGGTCTTTTGTGGGGAGGAAAATGCACACAAACCTCATTAATGTGCAGCGGTTCGGTTTTTTATATTTTTTTAGGATAAAATATCCTATACCTTAAGTCAAACCAGAAAACTCATTAAGAAGAGAGTAATCTTCATGGGCTTTTATATTTTGTCTTAGTCACCAGATCCATAATCCTAATTTTAATGATGCAATATGGAGGGGAGCCGCACAGGGGTCGTAGCCATGGGCTCCTAGTTTTCGCTGAGAGCCCTGCAGTTGCCTTCCAGGACTCTATTGTCTTCATAGCGTGCAAGCCCAAGATAACGACTTGTCCTAGTCTCTGTGGAAAACAGAATGAGGCATCATCGGGCACCCTCAAGATGTCTAAGTCCCAATCTCTAGGATGTGTGAATGCCTGAATGTTTGGTGTTACGTGGCAAAGAGGGAGATTAAGTATACAGATGGAATTCAAATTGTTAGGCAATGGGGTCTGAAACAGCAAGGGTCTCCATCTTCTAGATGTGTCTCAAGCAGTCACAAGGGATGGTTCATAAATCTGGTGGGAGGGAGACCCGACTTCAGAAGAAAGGAATGGGTAGATGCAATGCGGGTAGCTGCAGAGATGGAAGGAAGCGTGAGGCAGGGCTGTACTTCATCTCCGAAGGTGAGAAACCAGGCTGGAGAGATGTTTTAAACATTAAAGGCGAGGCCCACAAACACCAAAAGATGAAAAATGTTGAAAGCAAGCTGGGCCCTCGAGTCAAAGGATGTTACGCAGCCTCACTGATACCTCAGCTGTAAGCTAGTAAAACCCATCAGATTCCTACAGAACTCTCAGATAATACATTTGTATTGCCTAAGTCACCAAGCTGGTGGCAGCTTAACTCCTGAGATAGGAGGTGGATGTACAGACACACCATTAGTGTTGTTCCTAGAGCCTGCTCCCCTGAGAGCGAGTCGCTGCATTTCACCACTGTTTGCTGTCTTGATGAGCTGAGAATTACCCCGCTCCTAATCCTGATTCCGTTCAGATAAAATAACTTTCTTCTCCTTCTGTATCTCTGTTTTCCCATTTTACTGTGAGCAGCAAGGAGACTCAGGCTGTAGTGCTCAGAGTTCTCCTTGGCTCGTTCATTATCACTTTCAACTACTTCCCACGTAACTGGATGATACACCGCCACTCTTTCTGCTCCTGTATCTCAGGAATGCCCTTTCATCCACGGCAAGCCTGGAATGACTTTCCTGAAGAGCCTTCACTTGCTTCAGTCCAGACAGCCCTGCGCTGAATTCTGTCCCTCAGAACTAGAAAACATATGTGTCATGTTAAGGCACGAAGTTTCTGGGGATTTGTTACAGTAGCCATGGGCATGGATATGATCCTCGGAGCACGCCTATGAAGACTGACTCAAGACCGCTTATGAAATCTCTCTGAACTTGGTGCGTGTGCGTGTGTGGTGTGTGTGTGTGTGTGTGTGTGTGTGTGTATGTGTGGTGTGTGTGCGCGCGTGTGCAAGTCTGTAATCCCCACCCTTGGGAGGTAATGACAGGAGGATCAGAAGTTCAAGGTTATCCTCAGCTACAAATTGAGTTTGAAGCTAGCCCGGGCTACATAACCATGATCCAATCTCATAAAAACAAACAAAAATTTGTGCCATTTAAAAGTGAGGTATAACTACACCTCGAGCTAAGGCTCATGCACTGTCTACAGGAACTCTGGTAGAGGTGGGAAGTAGCAATGGGTACACATGTGACCGGGTAGCAGGACAAATGCACTTACTACATCAAGGTGGGCTCTCTTCCGTGCTCCCACGTCAACCTGAGAACCTTACTATAATAGTGGTGGGTGCGTGCCAGAGTGTGCGTGAGGGTTAGAGGAAAACTGGCAGGAGCTGGCTCTCTCCTTCTCCTGTGTGGGCTCCAGAGACTGTCCTCCAGCTGGAGAACCGTCTTAGCACAATGCTCGTCACTGAACTGTAATGAGCTGTGATGGATGCGCTTGCTATTTGGGTTCGAATCTCTAAAACCCACCACAGTCGTGGCGTGCACAGGTGCTCGGTGTTACCAACTGGATGAGAATGCAAGAGAGATCTGGCTAGGACATGCGTCAGCCCCTTGATCACTAGGATTGGTCCAGCTTGTCTGGCTCTGCTAAGCAGGCATTCTGTTCCTCCCTCAACACTCCGTGAGCATCCTTTCTTTAGCTGTGTGCTTAGCTGAAGCAGAGGACCTCTCCTGATGGAGGAGGATCAGTCTTCAAGGCTGTGAGAAGAGCTGCGCTCCCCTGCTGGCACCTCCGCACCAGCTCAGAGAGTCAAACAAATCCTGAAGAACCCTTCAGACCGAATGCTCACATTACTGTTTCGCGTCCCTCTTTCCTCCGAGTTGTTTTATCTTTTCATGTGTACTTCGTGAACACTAGTGATTTTACTGAGTTTCTTCTGGGGTAGTGTGTTGGGAGGGGGTGGTTTAACTAAAGTGAGGAAAACCTGCATATTCTATCTCCCTCTTTGCAGAGTGAAGATGTCTCGATCGTCGTTAGTTCTGAAAAGTTCTTTGGTAGAGAAACAGCTCCCTCTGTTCACATTGTTATCACAGAAGAAGACAAGCTTGGGAAACGTTTGCCAGCCATGACGCAGGCAGAGGTGTGAGACCATGTTTGAGATATTCTGAAACTCTAGTGAGCATTAGACACTCCAGAAGAGTTTGTTACAACTCAGACAGAATTCTGGACCCACTCCAGGAATTCTGATCCCATGGGTCTGGGTCAGGCCACAGGAACTTGTATTTCTAAGGAGTTTCTAAGTGATCCAGAGATTCCTGGTCCAGGATCTGGTGTTAGCAACCACCACAGTTTAATATTCGGTGGCTCCATGCTCCCCAGACAGCCTAAGTGGAGTTGTCACTACAATTCACGGGGGGCGGGACCTTAAGGACCAAAGTTGAGACTAAAAATGTGACGATTGCCCTCTTCTTTGCAAACTATGAGGTTGTTATTTATGAGCTTAGGAAGGCAGTATAACACAAAGTCTACACAGTGTTTAAACAAGGCCAAGGGTAGCTTTAAGACGCAATAGAAAAGACAGTTGCGTCAAATCCTTAGTGGGGTGTGGTGTCAGGAGCTGTGAGAAGGAACATTTGGGACCAAGTGGATGAGGGTATTCGAGAAGGAACATCTGGAGCTGCTGGACAGAGGAATAGGCACCACCAGGCGGAAAAGAGGCTGTCCAGGGGTCTGAGTAGCCGCCAGGTTCTCCCGGGGACACACTGTCCCTGAGTGTATGATGATCACACGTCCTGGTGCTTGCATCTCATTGCCCATAACGTTTTCTTAACTTTCTTGCCAGGACTGCAGACTGGGAAGTGGTACACAACAGCCTGCTGTTGAAGAAACCCTTCTAGCAGCCAAATACCATGAATAGAGTAGATGCCCTTCCTGTGAAGTAGACTCTGGGTCATAAGAACCACCAAAACCCAAGAGTCATACAGCAGCCATCTAGGGGTGCCTGTCATGTTCTGTTTTTGCAGAGGGCTGTGGAGGAACACAGACATTTCTAATCCACACGCCCCTATCCCAGAACATATGAACTCATTGAGATGGACCCCTCTGGATGTCACCCCAATGTGGCGGCTTATGACAGATGGCCTGGACCGAGTATGAACCACGATTGCTTCTGTGAGCCACCCCTTTGGAGCTGCGTAATTATTTCTCCTTGAGCTGAATGTGACTAGTACATCAGGGAGAGGCCTCCACTGCAGCCCTCCACTGAGTCCCTCCACTGCACCCCTCTGCTGCACCTCTCCACTGCACCCCTCCACTGCATCCTTCCACTGTGCCCCTCCTCTGTGCCCCTCCACCTCATCCCTCCGCTGCACCACTCTACTACATCCTTCCGCTGTGCCCCTTCACTGCACCCCTCCACTGCACCCCTCCACTGCGCCCCTCTACTGTGCCCCTCCACTGCGTCCCTCAACCACATCCCTCCACCTCATCCCTCCACTGCACCCCTCCACTGCGCCCCTCCTCTGCATCCCTCCACCGTGATCCTTTGTGATCACAGATCTGGTCACAATGGTCCCTACAGAAAACACCTCAGCAGCTTTCCTAGGCTCTTCAGGAAAAGACTAGAATCTAAAAATAGAATCCTCTCTAGTTCAAAGCTTGCTGGCCCCAATCCCCCAAATTTTCCACATCCATTTTTTTTAATAGCTCAACAAGGGCTTGGGGGATAACTCAGTAAACAGAGTGCTTGAGGATTTGAGTTGATCCCCAGAAACCATATAAAAACAGCCAGACATGGGGGGTGGGGGTTGCAGCACTGGGGAAATATAGAGAAGTCTACCCCTGGGGCTCAATGGCTAGTCTGCCTTGTTTATTTGATCAGTTCCAGGCCAGTGAGAGATCTTACTGAAAGAACAAGAAAAACCGGTACCTGAGGGATGACCTCCGAGGTAGTCCTGTGACCTTCACAGACATGCACACACGTTCACATACATGCACATTCATAGGCACCCGAACATACGAAGGCACACACCTTAAACAGTCAAGACAAGCAGCTTGTTAGCCATTTAGGGCTTTCTTGATTGCTTGCTTGCCTACCTGTGGCATTGCACCTCGAATCCACTGGTCATCCATTTGTAGACTCTGGGCTGCCACTGCCCTTCATACTTCTCTCACCCAGAGGCCCCTCAGAGTCTTGTAGAGTCCCCTCACTAAGAGCACTGTCCAGTCCTTCCACCTTGGGTGCTGCTGTGCCCTCCTCCCCTCTAGATAGCAGCCCACCATCCCAGAACAAGGTCTGCAGCACCGTGTGGATTTCCCCCTCGTGCTCTGCTCCAGCACTGCCCTTTCAGGATCGTCTCCCACGGTCCCATGTTGCCCCGGATCAGCCCTTCAAACTGTCTACAGCTGACCATCAGGTTTAAGCACACTGGTCTCTCTTCTGGGCAGTTCAGGATTTTTTGGCCTTATCCCTAAGGAAACCCCACCCCTCAAGATTAGAGGAAATTACTATATCACTCCTGCTTACAGGTTCTTGCATGTCCATTGCTTCAATTGGACAAATTTCCAGATATAGATTTTTAGGATTAATTTCCCGGGGACATCCGATGATTATGTCCCTTCCACTAAACTGAAGTCTCTGAGACTCTGGGCCTCACGTCAATTTTCCTCCCCACCATAACGCCAGCATACGGCCCGCGTCTGGCACCAAGTTGACTCTAAGCAAATAAGTACTCATATATGGAAAAAAAACTAATGAAATTGCGTGATAAAAATTATGTTGATGTAAAAATTTTTCAGGTTCTTATGAAAAACATATGGACTTTTCTACCCAGGAAAGCCAACATTTTGCCCTACTGGATTCAGCCCAGATCAGCATATTGGTGCTGGCCTCTGTTTATTTCTCTGTGAGCCTCACACGGTTCCTGGTGCCTTAGTGAACCAGGTTCCTAGCTCCCCTCATGAGTTACATCACATGTCTTTTTCTTTCTTTCTTTCTTTCTTTCTTTCCTTCTTTCTTTCTTTCTTTTTTTGGGATGGGCTCTGATTATGCTGCCCAAGGTGGCCCCGGATTCTTTGATGTAATGATCTTTCTGCTTTCTGCCCCGCAGTATTTTGGAGTACATGTGCCTGCCACTGCACCCGGACAAAATCACCTTTTCAACTGACTCACAAATCTGAACACTTCAGGCTCAGTCCTGTCAGCATAAGAGAGGTGAGCGTTTCAAAAGATCATTTTATCAGTCAGGTGGCGGTGGTGGTGGCGCACACCTTTAATCCCAGCACTTGGGAGGCAGAGATGGGCGGGTGGATCTCTGTAAATTCAGGTCAGCCTGGTCTAGACAGCTACATCCAGGACAGCTAGGGCTACACAGAGAAACCCTGTTTTGAAAAATTAAAAAAAAAAAATTATTGTATCACTTTGCTTTCATTGCTCATATTTGTTAGCGTCTAAATTAAAAGTTCTGTTTAACCAGGACTCACAGGCTACATGAAGTGGGTTACCCTGGCTGTTCTGTTTAACCAGGACTCACAGGCTACATGAAGTGGGTTACCCTGGCTGTTCTGTTTAACCAGGACTCACAGGCTACATGAAGTGGGTTACCCTGGCTGTTCTGTTTAACCAGGACTCACAGGCTACATGAAGTGGGTTACCCTGGCTGTTCTGTTTAACCAGGACTCACAGGCTACATGAAGTGGGTTACCCTGGCTGTTCTGTTTAACCAGAACTCACAGGCTACATGAAGTGGGTAACCATGGCTAGATGACAGCTAACCTGTGTGAAGGACCACCGTCTGATGTCCTTTGTCACCAGCTTGATTGATTTGCTGAAAACCGAACGCGTGCACGCGAGCGCTGGAGTGGCGCTAGGGTGGGGGTAGAATATTTACTTAAGTGTAAGTTCAGTAAAAGGGGTGAGGGTCGGTCAGCTCGGCGTATACTCGTGTGGTTTATTAGTGAGCCCATGGAAAGCTGGAGGGACCATCAGAGAGAGAGAGAGAGAGAGAGAGAGAGAGAGAGAGAGAGAGAGAGAGAGAGAGAGAGACTGAAGGAAGCAAGGGAAAGAGGCGTGTGTGCAGCTGGCTATTGATCTCTTTAATAAGCGCTTCCTGAGCTTCCTATCTGCTTTAAGCAGACTGCGCCCTCCACCTCATGGAACTTTCCCTGCACAGAGCATGACCTTTCAGGAAGTGGCCAAAAGTTATCAAAGGCAGCAAAGGCAGCAACCATGAAACTCAGTACCAAAGGAATGCCCGCAGTCCCGGCCCTGCGATGAGGTGTACTCCAGGCAGCCGGCTCGCTCTTCCAGGGGTGGGCAGGGTGCCCCTCCGTTCAGCGGCTCCTGCTGCACTGAACGCCTGCGCACACGCGTGGTGGGCTGGCATTGACCAGCACAGCCACTCCAGGGACTCCATTCTCCCACGAAGCACGGGCGAGCTGGAAGACAGAACGAGAATGTGCTCACCTGAGTAAACCCAGCCTGCCAGGTTGTTCCTGCCCATGCAAACACAGAGTCTATCTAGCTTGTGTAAACTTCATAAACTCAGTCATAACCTGCATCTGGAAACACAGCAAGTCCCAGAGACATAGGCTCCACCCACCCTGATGGGTCACTGATGATTAGGCACTTCTGAGGAGGTCCAGGAATCCCACAGTTGGCCAGGGACACATTCCAGGTAAATTGCTACAGGATTCTTCCTCAGGCTCCTGGGCTTACAAAACTTGCTCTTTTTCTTTTCTTTTCTCTTTTCTTTTCTTTCTTTCCTTTCTTTCTTTTCATTCCTTCCTTCCTTTCTTTTTCTTAGTAGTAACCTTCAGCACTGCCCCTGATCATAGCTTGATTTTCTTTCCAGATTATATTTTCACTCTTACCTATTTATGGAAGCTGGTGTGCTATTTCAATACACACATATAGTGTGTAATGATCAGATTAGTCATTGGTAAATCAGTTTTCTTAAACACAGAGCATTTCCTCTATGGGGCACTGGTAGCCATTCTGGTTAAAAGCCACAGTCATCCCACTGTGCTATAGAGCATTGGGAGTTATTTCTCCTGACTGCACCACAAGCCCTTAGCCATCCTTTCCCCATCCCCCTCCTCCCTCCCTTCCCAGAACATTAGTAACAGTAATATACATTCACTGTAAAAAAAAAAATGGGAAACATAATTATAGAAGCAAAATGTACCTTGCCCAGTCATAATCCCAGTACTTACTGATCAATTCTTTTGGGAAATGTAATGATAGCGATGGTGTAACTCAAAGGTAATATAAACAAAACAGACCCAGAGATCCGTGGGACAGAGCAGAGAGCCCTGCTGAAAGTCTGCACAACAGCCACCTGGTATTTTACAAAGAAGGCAGAAGTACACACTGAAGAAAAGGCAACTGCTAAGTCCTTCCCCCTGAAATGGCAATGTTGGTGACACTGTCCTAAACAGTGGCTCTGGCTGCATAAACAGAAGGGTTGTTACTGGGTGAACAGGCCACCCATAACCAGAAACCACCCATAACCTTCCCCCAACTCCATCTGGCAAGGGCGCTGAGAACAGGTCAGCTGAGACAGCCTGTGTCAGCCCACATCCCCACCCGCTGGCTGTCATATAAAATCTTCTCGCATTGCTATCGTTCTGCTCTTCAAATGATTCTGGGCAAATTGGATGTCTGTGTAGAGAAGAATGAAACCGGATCCTTATCTCTCATCCCGGATAAAAATCAAATCCAAGAGGATCAAAGATCTTAGTGTTGTCCCTGAAACTCTGCAACTGCTACAAGGTAAAGAAGTGGATATGCCCAAAATTATGGGCACACAAGGCCTGTCCGAGTGGGACTTCAGGAACTAAGGCCAAAACTGACAAAGTGAGAACTCGCGGATTTTAAGGGCTTTTGCACTGCAAAATAAACCTGTTAACACAGTGAAGAGGCGGCCTACAAAACAGGAGACGATCTTTGCCAGTTACACAGCTGACGGAATCAGTGCCTAGAAAACAAACCACCAAGATAGCAAATAAAAGCCCTAAGAGATAGTCTATGCACTGTCTGCATCACTAGGAGCAGCAGAAAGGAAACAGGAGCTTGTTTTATGCATTACCCAGTCTTCCTCTGCCTTTCTATGTCCTGTCCCCACGTTTACCTTTGCACACACAACTCCCCGCCCCCGCCATTAAATAAATGTTATGGATCTTGGGCTAAATAAATAAATCAAACGGCTTATAAAACTGGAGTTCTCAAAAGAAGCACAAATGACTAATAAATACTTTTTAGAGTGTTTGACATTCCCATCAGAGAAATGCAAATTGAAAGTACTTTGAGACTCCATCATACTCCAGTAAGAATAGCTATTATGGAGGAAACAAATGAGGGCAAATTCGGGCAGGACTGTGGGGGAGGGGCAACCCCTATTCACTCTTATCGCTAGCATGTGGCGGTTCCTTCAAAAACTTAAAAAATAGAATGGTCATTTTATCCAGCTTCAGTGATCATGGACCGTCTCCAACTCCTAAGCTAGGGCACACCTTTTCCCTGGTCTTTTCTGTTTTGTTTCGTTGAAGCGGGGTCTCTCTACATAGCCCTGGCTGTCCTGGAACTTATTCTGCAAACAAAGCTGGCCCCCAAACCCACAGAGATCTGCCTGCCTCTGCCTCCCGAGTGCTGTGATTAAAGGCGTGCGCCACCACACCACTGGCCCCCACCTGAGCCTCTGAAATCCTGGTATTAAAGATGTGTCCCTGAGATGGATGCCTTCTCCCCATAGCCACGATGGCCCTTTGGGAAATCAGAACATGTCACTTCTTGCTCCGTTCATCTCTGATGATCCCTCTCCACTTGAATAATGTATCTATAGGAGGAATCTCCGTAGATTGTATATTGATGGCCTCATCATTGTGACGAAGACATTGAGCAATCTGTGGACCATTTAAAATTGTCTATTCAAGCCCTTTGCCCATTTTGGAATCAGGTTTCTAGCTTTCTGTTGTCCTAAAGTTGTAGAATGAATAGTAACTCCTTGTCAAATTGACAAAGTTCACATATTTTCCCCATCCCTGTGGTCTGGCTTTTTTTCTTACTTGATGGTGTCTTTTCATGCAAATAGAAAGAATGTTTTTGTAATCCAGTGAAGATTATTAGCTCACCTATTTTTGTTGCTGGTGTTGCCTGTGCACAGGGGTGTATTTTGACATGCAATTCCAACATCTTGAAGAATTTCCCCAATGGTTTCTCTTACAAGTTTATAATTTGTTGGATCTTTTATTAGCTTTAATATTTGTTTGTGGAAATAAGCATTCATCCTTGTTCATTTGCATTTGGATATCCAGTTTTTCTGGCACCACTTTAGAGACCATCCTTTCTCCTTCTCGTTACCTTAGCGCCCTTGTTGGAACTGGCCATTAGCCAGGTGTGGTGGCACACACCTACCTTCTCAGCACTTGAATGATGAAGCAGGGAATTGTGAAATCCTGGCCAGTTTTGGTTAGATAGTGAATCTTGTTTCAGAGGTTTCCACCTATATAGCGGGACGAGTGTGGTCAACCAGAGCAGCTCATATCATGTCATCAAGGCATCGGGGAAAGCAACTCCTCAGCAGTCATTCTGAAGAGAATCACAGGCTGGTAACTGGTTGGGAAGGACGCCTCTGCTCTTCATTCTTTCTTTGCCTTATTTCCTCCCTGGACTTCCTTCCCTGTGCCTACTTGGTCCTTCCATGTGTTGACCTTGAACAGGACTTAATATTTGTATTCTAAAATGAATTTATTTCCAATTTTAAATTTTGAACAATACTATAGCATAAACACTGGCCATGTCTTTAACTTAGAATTTAGTAATGTGGCCTTGAGTTTAACTTAGCTGTATATAACAGATGACACTGGGGAGTATTTTCTGATAGAATTTAGCCTCTCAGGAATTCTTGAAAACTCTATCTCATGTCTAGCATTTCTTTGGTTGATTTGATACCATGACTGTAGTCTTTAAGAGTCACAGAATCCTTGTGTCAACTGTTGTTCTTATTGCCCCATATTTTTCCTTGACAAAAAACAATGTCATTTGCTATTTTTCCAATCTTACTTTTATATCCCTGTAAAGAGCTGAGTACCTGAGTAACAGGGTATACCTGGAGTCCCAGATACTCAAGTACTGAGCAAGGAGAATAACTGGAGCCCAGGAGTTCATCCATAGCCTGGGAAGATTTTATTGTAATCATCTCAAAATAAATAAATAGATAAATAAAATAAAAGTCTCTTAAAGACAAACAGAAGTTCTAGGATCCAAGACAATGTCTCCATGGTTTTATTCTAAGACAAAATGGAAGAGGGATGGAAATATAATTACAGGAATAAAAACGTGTTCCATAGATTTTGGGCTAGAGGATTAGTCTGGGATGTTTATTTCTCTTCCACTGTGATTCTCTCGTGAACTTTTGATTGAGTTGGAACCACACGAGATCACTGGTCCCAGGAGTTAGGAGTACAGGAACTTCTGACAGATTTATTACATCCATATATTAGAGCTATGTGACATGTATTTCCTTTTGAACTTTTATTAGCAGCCCTGCCCCTTTCCCACTAAATTTTATCTTTACAGACAACATGCTAAAATATTTTTCTTCAGATTCAATCTTCTCATTCTTCATATCCACTTTTACCAGCTGCTAATGGAATCTGTCGCTCGTTACCTCATAAGCTGGTGCACAAGGCCCCGGACTCCATGCTGGTCAACTGCTTAACAGCTAGGGTTTGATGACATCATCCCACTCACTCCCTTTAGAGGAAGGAAGCCTAGATTTAACGGGTACAGGAAATTCGGTGACGTCTTTCTCTTCTTTGTTTAAACTCAACCTAATATTCAGGTTGGGTTTCTCCATAAGCAACCTATGGGGCGTGAACTTGCATGCAAGGCCTTGATTTGGAAAGTGATTCCACTAAACATCATAAGGGAGCAGAGGAGAATAGACACAGACTACACATCTGTGTTCCTACTGTTGACCTAGCATACCTCCGACTCTCACCCCACTGGAGAAGGAGGGGAATGAATCATCCAGAAAGTTAGGAATGATGGAGTTCTTATTGGTTAATTGGCCCCAGATATCCCTACCTCCAGGTGCAGAATGACCAAGAAAAGAAAAGTAGTTACACTGTAAACAAGCATAAGATACATGTTTACATGTTCTGATAGGGAAAGCCAGTCATAGCCAAGTGCAAGAACCTTAAAAATTGTGTCACTGTTCGTTTTTGTTGTTGTTGTTGTTGCTTTGAGACAGCCTCGCCATTCAGTCCCAAGTGGTCCTGAATTTGCTTTGTAGCTGTTCTTGAACTCTCAGAGATTTGTCCAAGTGCTGAGATTAAAGGTGTGGGCTGCCACATCTGGTTTCTCTTTTGTTTGTTTGTTTTGTTGTTGTTGTTTGGTTTTAGTTGTGGTAGACTGATACAACCAAAAACAAGTT